TATTTAGCTCATCTGGGAGAGATGCGCACGCAGACACTCCCGCAGCACCCCCCGCTGCTCCTTTGTAGTCAGTCATTGTCCTTAGTCCCGCCCACATATTCCTAGTGTTACAGCCTTTGAAGTCAGATTCCACCTTCTCTTTGTACTGTCTCTTTGCATTTTTTATTGCTCTCCGGAGATCATACCTAGACTTCCTGTACTCCTCCAAATCTCCCGCTGTGTGCGCGAGAGTGCGCACTTTCAGTTTGCCGCGCACCTCACCGTTTACCCAGGGCTTTTGATTTGGGAATGTCCGTACAGAAACCTTCGGTACCACGGTATTGCATGTTATTAAAGGTCCTAAAGTCATACTATTGCATGTTATTAAAGGTCCTAAAGTCATATTATTGCATGTTATTAAAGGTCCTAAAGTCATATTATTGCATGTTATTAAAGGTCCTAAAGTCATATTATTGCATGTTATTAAAGGTCCTAAAGTCATATTATTGCATGTTATTAAAGGTCCTAAAGTCATATTATTGCATGTTATTAAAGGTCCTAAAGTCATATTATTGCATGTTATTAAAGGTCCTAAAGTCATACTATTGCATGTTATTAAAGGTCCTAAAGTCATACTATTGCATGTTATTAAAGGTCCTAAAGTCATACTATTGCATGTTATTAAAGGTCCTAAGTCATATGATGTTATTAAAGGTCCTAAAGTCATATTATTGCATGTTATTAAAGGTCCTAAAGTCATATTATTGCATGTTATTAAAGGTCCTAAAGTCATACTATTGCATGTTATTAAAGGTCCTAAAGTCATACTATTGCATGTTATTAAAGGTCCTAAAGTCATACTATTGCATGTTATTAAAGGTCCTAAAGTCATATTTTTGCATGTTATTAAAGGTCCTAAAGTCATATTATTGCATGTTATTAAAGGTCCTAAAGTCATATTATTGCATGTTATTAAAGGTCCTAAAGTCATACTATTGCATGTTATTAAAGGTCCTAAAGTCATATTATTGCATGTTATTAAAGGTCCTAAAGTCATACTATTGCATGTTATTAAAGGTCCTAAAGTCATACTATTGCATGTTATTAAAGGTCCTAAAGTCATACTATTGCATGTTATTAAAGGTCCTAAAGTCATATTATTGCATGTTATTAAAGGTCCTAAAGTCATACTATTGCATGTTATTAAAGGTCCTAAAGTCATATTATTGCATGTTATTAAAGGTCCTAAAGTCATACTATTGTATGTTATTAAAGGTCCTAAAGTCATACTATTGCATGTTATTAAAGGTCCTAAAGTCATACTATTGCATGTTATTAAAGGTCCTAAAGTCATACTATTGCATGTTATTAAAGGTCCTAAAGTCATACTATTGCATGTTATTAAAGGTCCTAAAGTCATACTATTGCATGTTATTAAAGGTCCTAAAGTCATACTATTGCATGTTATTAAAGGTCCTAAAGTCATACTATTGCATGTTATTAAAGGTCCTAAAGTCATATTATTGCATGTTATTAAAGGTCCTAAAGTCATACTATTGCATGTTATTAAAGGTCCTAAAGTCATATTATTGCATGTTATTAAAGGTCCTAAAGTCATATTATTGCATGTTATTAAAGGTCCTAAAGTCATATTATTGCATGTTATTAAAGGTCCTAAAGTCATATTATTGCATGTTATTAAAGGTCCTAAAGTCATATTATTGCATGTTATTAAAGGTCCTAAAGTCATATTATTGCATGTTATTAAAGGTCCTAAAGTCATATTATTGCATGTTATTAAAGGTCCTAAAGTCATATTATTGCATGTTATTAAAGGTCCTAAAGTCATATTATTGCATGTTATTAAAGGTCCTAAAGTCATACTATTGCATGTTATTAAAGGTCCTAAAGTCATACTATTGCATGTTATTAAGGTCCTAAAGTCATACTATTGCATGTTATTAAAGGTCCTAAAGTCATACTATTGCATGTTATTAAAGGTCCTAAAGTCATATTATTGCATGTTATTAAAGGTCCTAAAGTCATATATTGCATGTTATTAAAGGTCCTAAAGTCATATTATTGCATGTTATTAAAGGTCCTAAAGTCATACTATTGCATGTTATTAAAGGTCCTAAAGTCATACTATTGCATGTTATTAAAGGTCCTAAAGTCATACTATTGCATGTTATTAAAGGTCCTAAAGTCATACTATTGCATGTTATTAAAGGTCCTAAAGTCATACTATTGCATGTTATTAAAGGTCCTAAAGTCATACTATTGCATGTTATTAAAGGTCCTAAAGTCATACTATTGCATGTTATTAAAGGTCCTAAAGTCATACTATTGCATGTTATTAAAGGTCCTAAAGTCATATTATTGCATGTTATTAAAGGTCCTAAAGTCATACTATTGCATGTTATTAAAGGTCCTAAAGTCATACTATTGCATGTTATTAAAGGTCCTAAAGTCATACTATTGCATGTTATTAAAGGTCCTAAAGTCATACTATTGCATGTTATTAAAGGTCCTAAAGTCATACTATTGCATGTTATTAAAGGTCCTAAAGTCATACTATTGCATGTTATTAAAGGTCCTAAAGTCATACTATTGCATGTTATTAAAGGTCCTAAAGTCATACTATTGCATGTTATTAAAGGTCCTAAAGTCATACTATTGCATGTTATTAAAGGTCCTAAAGTCATACTATTGCATGTTATTAAAGGTCCTAAAGTCATATTATTGCATGTTATTAAAGGTCCTAAAGTCATATTATTGCATGTTATTAAAGGTCCTAAAGTCATACTATTGCATGTTATTAAAGGTCCTAAAGTCATATTATTGCATGTTATTAAAGGTCCTAAAGTCATACTATTGTATGTTATTAAAGGTCCTAAAGTCATATTATTGCATGTTATTAAAGGTCCTAAAGTCATATTATTGCATGTTATTAAAGGTCCTAAGTCATACTATTGCATGTTATTAAAGGTCCTAAAGTCATACTATTGCATGTTATTAAAGGTCCTAAAGTCATACTATTGCATGTTATTAAAGGTCCTAAAGTCATATTATTGCATGTTATTAAAGGTCCTAAAGTCATATTATTGCATGTTATTAAAGGTCCTAAAGTCATACTATTGCATGTTATTAAAGGTCCTAAAGTCATATTATTGCATGTTATTAAAGGTCCTAAAGTCATATTATTGCATGTTATTAAAGGTCCTAAAGTCATACTATTGCAATGTTATTAAAGGTCCTAAAGTCATACTATTGCATGTTATTAAAGGTCCTAAAGTCATACTATTGCATGTTATTAAAGGTCCTAAAGTCATACTATTGCATGTTATTAAAGGTCCTAAAGTCATACTATTGCATGTTATTAAAGGTCCTAAAGTCATACTATTGCATGTTATTAAAGGTCCTAAAGTCATACTATTGCATGTTATTAAAGGTCCTAAAGTCATACTATTGCATGTTATTAAAGGTCCTAAAGTCATACTATTGCATGTTATTAAAGGTCCTAAAGTCATACTATTGCATGTTATTAAAGGTCCTAAAGTCATACTATTGCATGTTATTAAAGGTCCTAAAGTCATACTATTGCATGTTATTAAAGGTCCTAAAGTCATACTATTGCATGTTATTAAAGGTCCTAAAGTCATACTATTGCATGTTATTAAAGGTCCTAAAGTCATATTATGCATGTTATTAAAGGTCCTAAAGTCATACTATTGCATGTTATTAAAGGTCCTAAAGTCATATTATTGCATGTTATTAAAGGTCCTAAAGTCATATTATTGCATGTTATTAAAGGTCCTAAAGTCATACTATTGCATGTTATTAAAGGTCCTAAAGTCATACTATTGCATGTTATTAAAGGTCCTAAAGTCATAGTATTGCATGATGTAAAAACTGATAGTACTGTAGGTCATAACAAAGTCAAAGTATAGTATGTTGTAAAAAGTCATACAACGATAAAGTATAGTAAGTCATAGTATTTTGTAAAAGTCCTACAAAAATTCTACTATGTCGTAAAAATTAATTAACAGACATAAATGATTCCTACAAAGTCAAAGGATATTATTTCATGAGTTACGCACGAAGTATTTAAAAAGTGTCATTTATTACCATTTACCATTTATTTGTATTCTCAGGACAGGGTGCCATGAAGTCATGAAGTCATAGTTAGTCATTGGAATAAAAAAAGGAACCGCTCAATAGTTAAATAAGTCTCTGTGACCTTTTGACCTGTGCTGGACTATGGTGATCTGATTTATATGAATGCACCTGCCCATTGCCTGGTCAAGTTAGATGCTGCGTATCACAGTGAGATTTGTGACAAACTGTAAAGCATTAACTCATCACTGTACCCTGTATGCAAGGGCTGGTCTGCCTTCACTAACTGTACGGAGGCTCAGTCACTGGTACATTTTTATATATAAAGCCATGTTAGGGAAACTTCCATCCTACATCTGCTCCCTGATCTCACGGCGAATTGTAAGTGGCTACTGCCTGAGATCGCATGCTGTGGTTTTATTAAATGTGCCAACTGCTAGGACTGTCTTAGGGAAGATAGCATTTAGATGCGCAGCTCCACTGTCCTGGAATAGTCTGCAATTAAAATGGAAACTGAGCAATCTGGTGCCACTAAATGTTTTTAAAGCTCAGTTGGATGCTACTGAATCGGAAGCTGTTGGTACCTGTGCATGTGGATAGTTATGTAAATTGTAATCCCTGTAATGATACTGTATGATGTCCTTTTGTTGTTCTGTTTATGTTTTTAATGTTTCATGTGGAACCTACTTGAGCAGGTCTCCCTTGAAAAAGAGATCAATGATCTCAATGGGATACAACCTGGATAAATAAAGGTGTGAAATGAAGTCATTAAAGTTGGTGCAGGTGTTGATGGCAGTCAGTGCAGGTGCTGCCCCCTGCTGGTGCTGCCCCCTGCAGGTGCTGCCCCCTGCAGGTGCTGCCCCCTGCAGGTGCTGCCCCCTGCTGGCACAAAACAGACTCTTTGATCGCATCATGTACAACTTTATTTACATAAACAGAAGAACAGAACATTGAATTAGAGAAAGTAGAAAAGTGAAACAAAGTGTTCTGAACTTTAGAAGAGCTGATTGGTGGATTTTGGAATGCTAGCAGTTTCCCCCTGTTTCCAGTCTTTATGCTAAGCTAAGCTAACCAGCTGTGGCTTTGTGTTGGTTGCACAACATTAGTGTTAGTGACAGAAAAATGTCTAATGACTACTCCTTCAAATCAGCTTGTTCTGCAGGTGGGATGCAGCTGACACACACACCTGCTGTGTGTGTGTGTGTGTGTGTGTGTGTGTGTGTGTGTGTGTGTGTGTGTGTGTGTGTGTGTGTGGTGGTTTTCCAGCATTAAAGGTGCACTACGCTGCTCTGAAGACACGTTTTACTGTCAGTCGTCTCGTTGCAGTTGTTCTTCTCTCCTCCTCCTCCTCAGATGTCGTCGTCCAGCGGCGCCATCAGCAGCGTGAGCTCCCTGAAGGCGCTGCCGTGCCGCCCCACCCCCCCCGCCCGGGTCTTCACCATGTTGCTGAGGTTCTGCAGCTGCCGGCAGCACAGCCTGCACTTATGGCGTCTATACACACACACACACACACACACACACACACACACACACACACACACACACACACACACACACACACACACACACACACACACACACACACACACACACACACACACACACACACACACACACACACACACACACACACACACACACACACACACCACACACACACACACACACACACACACACACACACACACACACACACACACACACACACACACACACACACACACACACCACACACACACACACACACACACACACACACACACACACCACACACACACACACACACACACACACACACACACACACACACACACACACACACACACACACACACACACACACACACACGGTGAGACTGAAGTGATCATAAGGTTTTATTTATTAAACTATAAGCTATGAATAAATAATACATAAATAAAGTGAGACTGAAATCAGACTACAGTCACTCTTACACACTTATAAATAGTGTAAAGTAAATAAATAAAGTGTGACTGAAGTACTACTGATCAAACAGAAAACAGTGTGTTCTGGTCAACGGTGCCAAATCCCCCTTCCTTGAGGAACCCCAACAGGGTTCCTCAAGGTTCCATTCTTGGACCATTACTGTTTTCTCTGCACATTAATGACTTGCCTAATGTATGTCCTGAGTTGAATGTACAAATGTATGCCGATGATGCGGTCATCTTTGTACACGGGAACAATACTGACATAATCACACCCTGTCTCTCAAATGGACAAGGTTCAACACTGGATGAACAACATGTGCTTACAGTGAAATGCAAAAAAAACAGTATCCATGATGTTCAGTAAACGACCAGTCAAAATCGAAGCAGCAGAATTAGAACTAGTCTCCCACTTCAAGTATCTTGGAGTCATACTGGACTCGAACTTGACTTTTAAGAAACATATCAAGAAAGTATCCAATACCGTTAAATTCAACTTGCAACATTTTAAACAAATGAGACCTTTCTTAACTGTCAGTGCTGCAAAGTCATACCTCCACTGTATGATTCTATCCCACATTGAATACTGTTTGACAAACTGGTCGTTTGCTTGTGCCTCAAACCTGAAACCCATAGAACAGCTGCACAAGAGAGCTATCAAGGTGTTTGACAGAAAGCCACATTCATACCACCACTGCACCATCCTGGAGAAACACCATGTATTGAGTTTTGACCATTTTAAGTCTTTTAGACTTAAAATTCCTTAGGGCAGGGGTTCCCAAAGTGGGGGTCGCGAGATGATTAAAAAAAAAAAATGGAAAATGTTGGATTATTAATAATAATAATAACGTGTGCATAGACATGTTTCACGGGCGGACTGGCCATCTGTATAATTTCCCCGCAGCGAGGCCCCCCCCGTTGACAATCCACTGTTTCTCAAACCTTTTCATACCAAGGACACTTAACCAATAAAACACACTCACGGACCACCTGACTCCACACATATCCAGAAACAAAAGGCCTGCTCTCCAACAGCACATAGCAGCCTAATAATGACAGCTTAACCTTCTCTGTATCGCCTCGTTCACACAATAAATCAACAACACAAAATACAACTACAGATTATATCAGCATTTAGTGCAAATGCGATTTAAAATGCTCTCAGGTTTTACACCTCTTATGAAATGTAGACTACATTTATCACAGAGTTTATGTCCAACAGACTCACAGATCGTTGGCTACTGAGAGAAATGCAAAATACACCGCATAGTAGGCTACGACGCAAACCTCCGCTGTGGATTTTCAAAACTAAATACAGTAAACTATGGTCGCAGACCAAGTCTAACTCTCTGAGGCCTGCAGCCCAACAACAGCCTCTGATCATCAACAGACTCCATGCAATGCTTCATCAGATGCATATATTAGATAATAATCTCTATCTCACTCCTAAAACATCTGAATATACTTTCATGGATAAATGTTCATAAAATACATCCATTGTTTGTTCTATATGCTTCTTGAAATCTAAAAAACACATCGTTTTTCTAGAACAGATTACAAATCGCCTGAAAATGGTACAAACAAGAGGCAACATGTGTGACGAAGGTGTGGCGCTGGGCTATATCACGCAATCAAAGGTGAAACTTAAGCTCGCTCCATTGCGGAGATATTCCTGCGAGAGTGCGGAAAACTCAAATGAATTCACGAGCACTTTAGGTAGCTCTGATGACATCATGAAATACTAAATACTAAATAAAGTGAGACTGAAATGAAAACAAATGTCAGAATAAATAAATAGAAATACAGAATAAACAGGAGTTTGAGGACAGATGAAGAACTCCTCCTCACCTCTCCTCTCGGGTGATGTCCACTCCCACAGACGGCGTCGCTCTCAACGTTTCAGAAATCAGCTTCCAGAAATGTTTCATGATCATTTTCAGAGAGGAGCAGCCAGTCTGGATGTAGCTACACACACACACACACACACACACACACACACCACACACACACACACAGCACACACACACACACACACACACACACAACACACACACACACACACCACACACACACACACACACACACACACACACACACACACACACACACACACACACACACACACACACACACACACACACACACACACACACACACACACACACACACACACACACACACACACACACACACACACACACACACACACACACACACACACACACACACACACACACACACACACACACACACACACACACACACACACAGTTTAACATACGGCTCCCTCTTGCTGATTGGATGTCAGAGTCATGGTGATGTTCCTCACCTCTCGTATTTACTCTGCAGCAGCTGCTCGATCTGAGGGAGAACCGTCGTGCAGAGATCCAGCTTCCATAGAGACCTGAAGGAGAGACAGGTGCATACACATCACTGTGTGTGTGTGTGAGTGTGAGTGTGAGTGTGAGTGTGAGTGTGTGTGTGTGTGTGTGTGAGAATGTGTGGCCCCGGCTCCACGGGAACGCATACGGCAAAACGCATAGGAGTAACGCAAACGCAAACGCCAAAAAGCTTCCGCTCACACGCAATATACACCGGATTGTGTCAAGCTACACGAGACGGCTCCATTTAGATCCAACCGCTGGAAAAGCTGCAGTACATATGCCGAACCTGTACGTGGCGCTGTAACTTCCTCCACAAAAGCAGCAACTTCCTCCACAAAAGCAGCGACGAAGAATGGTTGTCATGGCTGCACTTCTGTGTATTCTCCGCGGTGGGGGCCGAGGGATCCGGGCAGAGTTTTTCGACGGTCAACGTATGTTAAAGTTTAAATCTTCCGGACAAAATTATAAAAGTGCCGGTCAAAGGTCTTCATTGTTATTTATTGAGCTTTAAAACAAATTAATAACGACGATATAATGATATATAATAATAAAATACACGGAGCCTGTCTCTTTTTCCTCTCTTCTCACAGCGTCAGTGTCTGTCTCATGCAGCAGCTGATCCAGTAAGTAAACCCGACAGTAAAAATAAACATATTTATAACTAGTTTAGTTTGAGAGGTAATTAAAATAGCTAAGGGTGATGATCTGACTTGAAGTGTGTGTTTTGCTCCCGCGGCATCACAGCGGGAGGAGCTGCGTGTCTCCGTCCTGTCAGATTAGACTTCACTCGCGTTTATGTCCATATCGAGATAAAGATAAATAATCTGAATTCAGTGTGCAGTGTACTTTTGCGGGGGTGAGCAGCAGAGGTGGGGAGAGGCGGGGCTATTGCGTCGTCATTATCAGAAACGGATGACCGTATAGGCTACCCCACGGCCCTGTTGGACCCCCCAGAGCGCTCCGTTCCCAGATCTATCCACCTTTGGACCTGTTGTCGTTTGCAGGGTCTGTTTCTACGTTTCCGTTACGGCGTCGTGTTAAAGGGCTATACGCACGAGAAATATGCGGATTCAACTCGTTTTCGTTCCCGTGGAGCCTAGGCCTGTGTGTGTGTGTGTGTGTGTGTGTGTGTATGGTGTTGTTGTGTGTGTGTGTGTGTGTGTGTGAGAATGTGTGTGTGTGTGTGTGTGTGTGTGTGTGTGTGTGTGTGTGTGTGTGTGTGTGTGTGTGTGTGTGTGAGAATGTGTGTGTGTGTGTGTGTGTGTGTGTGTGTGTGTGTGTGTGTGTGTGTGTGTGAGAATGTGTGTGTGTGTGTGTGTGTGTGTGTGTGTGTGTGTGTGTGTCTCACAGCTGCAGGTTGATGATGTTCAGGATGTCCACGACGATGGACAGATCGTTCATGGAGACGGCGGCGTCCAGAGCGCTCTGAGAGGAAGAACTCGTTATCATAGGACTCACATCCAGCATGTTGTTTGTTTGTTTGTTTGTTTGTTTGTTTGTTTGTTTGTTTGTTTGTTTGTTTGTTAACTGTGTGTTGTTCTATCTCTTTCTTTGTGTCTTTAATATCGTTTTTCATGTATTTTCTCTGAGTATTCAAACCCCTAACCCTCAGTCAATTATTACATACAATATATAAAAAAATATATTTGTGTATTTTCACTTTTTCCATGCTTGTTGTTGTTGTTGTGTTGTTGTCACCTTGATGTCCTGGCGCGCCCACACCCCCCTCACGGTCTCCAGGTTGCGGTGTCGGCTCCTCAGCATCACACACATGGTGTCGTGACCTTTCTTCAGCTGAGAGAGAGCCTCGTCATCGGAGAGAGCCCCCCCCCTGTTAGGAGAGGACTACACACACACACACACACACACACACACACACACACACACACACACACACACACACACACACACACACACACACACACACACACACACACACACACACACACACACACACACACACACACACACACACACACACACACACACACACACACACACACACACACACACACACCACACACACACACACACACACACACACACACACACACACACACACACACACACACACACCACACACACACACACACACACACACACACACTACTGAAAATGTGTATTTCCACGTGTATATATTGACTTTTTTTTTTTAAATGCAATTTTATTTTTATGTCAGCCGTTAACACAAAGTCAGCTCAAACTCTATGTTCTGAGTTTAAAATGGCAACACGCTTTAAGAGGCCCTGTTCCGCTTGTTGCCCTCTCTCCTGTGCTCTATAGGTGTCAGAGCTGGAACGGCGCATTTCCACTGCAGCGCGCAGCACGGTTTAAGCGTGCCGTGACAAACCCGCCGTTTCCACTGCGTTTTTCTGGCTCTCCAAAATCGAGGTTCTTTCCGGGCCAACAAACAGGGCTGAGTCGGGCTGAGTATGCTAAACTAGAGAGAGCGTCGCTGGCAAGGGGGCTACAACTACAACAAGATGAACATATTTGACCGTGATTTAATTGTAATACACGTTTCAAAATGATGCCGAAGTAACAACATACTGATACCGGTTAGTAAAAACCATGAATTAATGCTTTGACAAGTCTGCAGACAGACGGCAGGGGAAAAACCTTTTAAAATGCGTGTTTTCTAGATGGAGATTGGCTAAGCTAACGCAGTATATGCTCCGACCGTCCACACTCACAACAACGGCCTATACAGACATAAATAAAGCAGCGACTGTATTCACCATGACACAGGCAGTCTGTGGTTTGTACTTGTTTAACTTTTGTCTAGTTTCTGAACAGATATGAGGAGCTGTGAGCTCTGAGTGCTAACTGCTAACGGCTGTGTTGTTTTTCTGGGGTTCTCATTGAAGATGACGTCACGGCTCCGCCTACACTGCGTTGCTATAGTTACTGCTCCAGCTACTAAACTGTAATGGAAACGCAGCATGAAGTGAGCCGGCCCTAACAAGGCCTAACTATACCGTACTAAGCCGTGTGAGGACCTGCAGTGGAAATGCGCCATAAATGGTCTGCAAAGGCTAAAATCCCTGTGTTCCCCACAACAACAACAACATCATTTGTTTACTGGCATCACGTGACCTCCGGCTGCTTAGCGCACGCTCTGAGGTCTCAGATACGTACAGAAACATGAAAACTCACGGGCAGGAAGTCGGCCACGTTGAGTCCGATTGGCTCGTTCCTGTTGCTCAGGATGATTTTAGGGGGGGGTTTGGACTTCCCTGTGTTGAGGGGAGGCTGAGAGGGAGGGGGGGGGGGCTGAGGAAGAGGAGGAGGAAGAGGGAGGAGCTGAACGCTTCACACAGGAAACCACTGTAGGCTCCACCCTCTGCACCGGGGTGGAGGAGGCCAGAGGAGGAGCCTGCCACACACACACACACACACACACACACACACACACACACACACACACACACACACACACACACACACACACACACACACACACACACACACACACACACACACACACACACACACACACACACACACACACACACACACACACACACACACACACACACACACACACACACACACACACACACACACACACACACACACACACACACACACACACACACACACACAACACACACACACACACACACACACACACACACACACACACACACACACACACACACACACACACGTTATTAGCCACCGATCATCAGAAGCACTTGAACGTCTCACCATGCTGAGAACAGACTGATGCTGCGTTCACTGACCTGCATCTTCTCAGGAAAAGGAGAAATGAGGTCCTTCAGCTGACGACCGACCGCTAACACTGTGTCTGAGGAGGAGGATGAAGAAGAGGAGGAAGATGAAGAGGAGAGACGAATGTTATGAAATCTTCCATTATGAAGAACCATTTCCAATAGAAATGAGAATATGTGGAGGCCTTTGTTTAATTTGAAGGTATTAAGTTGATCGGGACTTGAACCCTTTGGTTCCACAGACTGAGCTTCTGCTGCCCAGTTATGATCTGAAACACTACATTTAAAATCAAGAGAGAGAGCTTTGATAGCCTCTAACTGGAAGGTCTTCATAATTCTCGCTGAACGTTAACCTAAAGTTGGTGAATATACAACGAAGTGAAACGATAGAGAATCAGCTAACCAGTGTCCATCAGAAACAACCAGCGACATGCAGAGCCTCACCTGTCATACTCCAATGCAACGGGAAAAAAACTAAATAATAATAAAATGTCTCCACTGATCTGTGTTGTAAATGTGATTTCTGATTCCAATCGCTTTTTACAGTCAAAATCGACAAATTTGCCGAGCTCCGCTACAACTACATGGGAGCGATGAGAAGAGAGGCAGGGACGAGCTCTGCCTCTCTTAAGCCCACAGTAACTGGCTTGAGTGCGGGCACTTATTTTGTGAGCGCGCTCAAGCCAGTTACTGTGAGGTGAGGTGAGGCACAGATGAGCTCTGCCTCACCTCAGAATGCGTCACCCCACAGAAACTGTCTGGAAAGCGGGGCCCTAAGCGCATGCCTGTTCCCATCTCACTGTAGGTCACACATGTAATGTTTGTAGATCCCTTTATTACATTTATCCTCACCATCCATAGTCTCTAAATAACTTATTTCACGTATATATGATATTTAGGCTCGCTGGTCTTATCATACATCGGCAATGAAAAAGCACCAGGGGAGGCAGCCATAACCTCTGCCGCACTGAAGGGGGCGCACGTGAGCCCACAGGTTCTTGTTGCTACTGTTATTCTACGCAGAGACGGTAGACAACAACAAACTAGACTTTTGAAACTACAGGAAGATAAGGAGGACTTTTACAAACAGAGATTGTTGTCCAGAAGGATAGCATGGACTTCATCTTCAAGTCAAGGTAAGACCACAATTGTAATGAAAATGGTATCTTACTAAGAAAGAACAATCCAATATTTAGATGTTGGGTATCCTTTTGTTGAACGGTCTGTTTAAAATGAATCGAAGCATCAGACTAAAAAAGCTTTTGAAAATAACCGAATATTTCGATTAAGGTCAAAATATAATATTTGTAAATCTGACTCAGTGAGTCAGTGCCTCACCAGCCATGAACCTCACCGCACGTCACTGGAAACAACAACACACACAAGCTGTCATGGTTTTATATAAATCCAGTGAACTCACCGTCCTCTGGAGGAGCGGGGAACGGCTCAGAGATCTTGGGAGGAGTTCGAGCTGAACACAGAAACAAGAACAAAGAGTGAGATATCTGCCACAACATCAGTAACCGGAGCCACGTCATTCAGAGATCTGCGTACAGTCCGCGACAAGTGTTGCACTTATCATTATCACATCATCAATCACATCATCAATCACATCATCGATCACATCATCGATCATATCATCGATCATATCACATCATAATGTATCATATATCTCCTTATCTGAGTCAGCTGAGCCGTATCTGGCCGTGCAACACTCACAGTGTCACATACTGTATGCAGAAGTATTATTTTAAGCAACACATTAAATTGACGAAACACTCGAGTCAAATGTAATTAAAGTCAGATCGTGTCTTAGACGGGGCAGTGATTTCATAAACCTGTTAATGTACGCATTCAAACACTTTCTCTGTTACCAGCTGTATTCACCTTGCAGGTGCAGCTATGTGGCTTTGATCCTGGATAAAGTGTTTAAGTCATGGATGTTTAAAGTTTAACTTCTTCATATTTGACTAATATTAAAGTTCACTTTTCATTCAGGAAGTATGACGCTGCGCTGTCAGTACGCTTGTCCATGTTTGTGATTGGTCAAATGTTGCTAGCCCCGCCCCTTTCATGTGAACGCGCACTCAGCCGGACAGAGAAACCCTGGCTTGAGTTACCGAGTTGATAACCAGCGTCGTAGGACCGCTTAGCGAGAGCGCGTTTGTTTTGGATTAGGTAACTCAAAGATATCCAGGGTCTGTTGAACTGGCTTCGTAGTACAGGCCTCTGGTGTGTGTAGATCCAGTTTGTGTGGTGTGTGTAGTGTGTATAGTGTGTATAGTGTGTGTAGGGTGTGTAGGGTGTGTAGTGTGTGTAGGATGTGTAGGATGTGTAGGGTGTGTAGGGTGTGTAGGATGTGTAGGATGTGTAGGATGTGTAGGGTGTGTAGGGTGTGTAGGATGTGTAGGGTGTGTAGGATGTGTAGGGTGTGTAGGGTGTGTAGTGTGCAGTGTGCAGTGTGCAGTGTGCAGTGTGTGTTGTAGTGTGTGTAGTGTGTAGTGTGTGTAGTGTGCGTAGTGTGTGTAGTGTGTGTAGTGTGTAGTGTGCAGTGTGTAGTGTGTGTAGTGTGTGTAGTGTGTAGTGTGTATAGTGTGTGTGGTGTGTGTAGTGTGTGTGGTGTGTGTAGTGTGTGAAGTGTGTGAAGTGTGTGTGTGTGTGTGTAGTGCGTGTAGTGTGTGAAGTGTGTGTAGTGTGTGTAGTGTGTGTAGTGTGTGTAGTGTGTGTAGTGTGTGTAGTGTGTGGTGTGTAGTGTGTGTAGTGTGTGTGTGTGGTAGTGTGTAGTGTGTGGTAGTGGTGTGTGTGTAGTGTAGTGTGTGTAGTTG